CTCGTTCTGGGTCTCAAACTATCTGGGTTCCCCGCGTAATCGTAACAAGGACCAAACCTGATGCAGTCAGTATCTGTTGACCCATTCCTCTTTACTTTATGATTTCCAGTTTTGATCTTTCAAAACTGATGCTGGAATAACAGGAAAGTCTTCATCACTTCTCTGGCAATCTAAAAAATATAGAAACCATAAGAAAAGGTACAAACAATAAACAAGTAACAAAAGCTCTACACATGAAGTTTCACCAACTTTCCAGTTAACAACTATCACAACAATGTTCCAGCAGATATTTCCATTCTTTTGGAGCGTCTGGAGCACGACGCCTCCGTTCTATTTAACGTCACACAATCACATTTTTCTGACGCGCTCTCCTTCATTTCAGCTCAGCTCTGTTGCAGCTTTTAATAGAATCAGTAAATATTTGAAACTTATTGTTCAAGAAACATAAGTTGTAGGAACTGATTTGAACATCAGCTAAATATTCTAATTACAATTAAAAGAATAATTAATGAGCAACATTTAAATGAACTTTGACTGATTTATTTTCTATTAGACTTTAACAGTGAGTGTGAGAACTGACTGCATTTTAATAACGTGCACGTTTTGATCAATTGACTTAGAGAAATGTGGGTTTTTGAACAAATCAAAACCAATTAGTAATTTGAAGGAAATTAAGTTTAATGATTCAGAAAATCTATTTGATAAAAGAACAGAAAGCTGTAGAGACATTTGATGTTTAATAAATGTAGCAGGACGACTTCAAGTGTTCAAAAACTTTGTAGGAGCCATAACACAAGGAACACGTGTCATCCTTACACTGGCATGATGTGTCCAACTCAAGTTGTTACTAAATCTCTTTCAAAATGATCAGGAACAAGTTTGAAGATTCATTTAGTTTCAGTGAAAAACATTCATGTGTAATTTATGCATGTTCCTGAATCAAACTTGAATAAAATGTGCACTCTGTCCTTCATGGACATAACAGCAACTAAAATCATTTTAAAAGCAGCTCACCAGATATAATTCAGTGTTAAGACTTTTCTCCTCTGTCTCTTAATAAATACTTACCTAAATGTTTTTGCAGGTTTTGAATCGTCTTCTGCTGAACTTGATCCACCAGAAAGACTGTGTGGTTCACAGAGTTTCTGCACAAATCAAAATATGAAACTTTAAATTAATATGTTCTGAGAGAACAACAAGTATCATTTTTATGCACACTAACCAGAAACCTCCAGTGATTTTGGTCGACATGGACAAATAACACAAAGCTCTTGTAATTCTCAACATTTACCAGTAAAAACAAACACTTGATGTTAAAATGTTATAAATGTCATTTCTGACATTAATGTACAATTTGAACTTTATTTTTCCAAATGGTTATTGTCACTTAAAAATATTAAACATATAAATTATTTTAAATTAAACATTCTTGTTTTTACTATGAACTATGTTGCATTTCAACGAGACAATACATTTTCTGCACTAATGATGTGATTTCTGGTAAAGCTGTACTTACCCTCGCTGTTTCTACAACATCCTGAAGAACGAGCAATAAACACAGCAACTTAGGGACAATTCTATGGAAAACGTCCAACTTTGGAAGGCCTTTATTTTGAAATTCCAAATGAGATTTTGGTGACATATGGTGAGCAACATCTGGAGATGTTCTACAGTCAGCCTGAAGTGAGACTGGTCAGTCAGAGTCAGAGTCAGAGTTTCTTTATTGTCATTCGCACCTCATGTGGTACATGTGGTGGAGCGAAATTATGTACACAGGGTCCCAGTTACATCCAACAATAAAATGTATAAGAAAAACAGTAATAACATCTAAGATATGAACTAAGAAAAACATC